CCTCCGCGTTCATGTGAATTCAAAGCTACAGAGGTAAATTCACGTCAGAACTTGCAAGACAGAATTAAACATCACTTTAATGATCTCATAGCTGATCTTAATGCATTCTTTAGGAAAAAGGAGAGAGTTGTGCATTCTTAAAAATGGAGGACATTTTGAGCACTTACTCTCAGGGCCGCTGAGAGCCAGGCTGGGCCCCAGGACAATTCTCTAGATCGGGCCCCGTGAAACAAAAAACTGTTTTCCCTACTTCAATTACTTCTTCTTCTAAAAAAAAAAAAGTTCCTCACATCAAAAAGCTATTCTCCCTACCTCTTAATTGCTTTTACTTCTTCTTCTAAAAATGAAAAAAAAAAAAAAAACAAGGTCAGCCGAAACTTAACTTCCCACTCTCATCTTGTGTCGTATTTCTCATGCAGAACACAGAATGCTGTTGTCGGGCCCCCTTACAGCGCTACCGGGCCCCCATTTAAGCCCGGGTCCCGGGAATTAGTCCCGGCTACCCCCCCTCTAGTCGGCCCTGCTTACTTTAACTAATTGAATATATTATGCTTTTAGTAAAATTTATTTTAATTTTCTTGTGATTCTTTGTTTAATTAATAACATTAGAATTAGAATAATGTCTTTGTTATTGATTTTTAATAAATAAGTTTGATTTTATTATGCTCGTTACATGGCGGTTCCAAGCGGACAGTAGCGCAAATTAAAAAAAGTCGAAAGCAGAAGACAGTTTTCTAGATGCTGGTAAAAGAAGTTGCGATTGTTTGTTCAACCGTACAACGTTGTCATTCTGTGCATATTTTGGATCGTACATCGTCTCTATTTCGATCTATTTTAACAAAACTGGTCACTATCGAATAATAGTTAACTAGCTTTATAATTGTGATTTATTGATAGTCATTTAGATGGTCTTTAAGTTGTCGGTCTACCATATTACGCATATTTCATGTTTGGTGTGAATTCAAGCCATAGGTAGGTATTTAACATTTTTGTTTTTATGTAGGTAAATTGCAAATTTTGTCATTCATCTTCGCATAAATATGATGGAAATAATAAAATCGTATAAATGTTTGTTATCCAGGACCGTAATTTACGAAATTATTACCTATAGGTATATTATAGTTTTTAATAGAATGTAATTAGGTAGTTTGGATGATAAAAAAATGGTAATATAAAATAATATTATTACCTAAGTACCAGCCTCTTACAATAATTATTATCATTCTTGGGGGAAATAACTACACGTCCATTTATTATTAAGCAATAAATGTATTATTATTAAACATTTTGTCATGTATAATAAGTAGGTACATTAAAAATTTAAGGAAAATGAGGAATTTATTTATTTATGTATTGCACTATAGACAACTTTACATTTTTTTTACTAGCTTGAAGTTTCCTTGTTTTCTTTGCCGCTCTTATTTGGACCGGTTCTTACAATATTTAAAAATTTAAGTTGTAATTAATAAATCTAACATATACTGGCTATGTTCCACACAGTTACTATTACAATAACACCCGGTAAAAGAGTTTCTATTTTTTTGAATAATAATTTTTCGCATATTATGTAAAACTTTTTTGGTACAATATTCTTCTATGTTAGGCCGAATTGCTCGTTTAGATCATAAGTTTTATAAAAATTGAATAACTTGGTGTTCATCATTCAAAATATTTACTTTTTCTTTGAAATAATTTTGAACTCACCGCATTTAAATTTTTCTACGCATTATTTTATTAAGTATTCGGCAAAGTACATAGTGGAACATTCTTCTAATGTTCTCTAATAACATATCGACTTCAGCAGACAGATTCCCATTGACAATTCGATATCGAAATACTCGATTTCGATAGGTCGCTATCGAATTGCCCTGCGTTTTGGTCGATTCCGAAACCCGTAGTATTCGTAGCAAGCATGCGCAATACGTGTTTTAATTGTCAATAATAACTCGTAGTATTCGTAGCAAGCATGCGCAGTACGTGTTTTAATTGTCAACAATGCCATCCAAACTGACGGCATATAATAGGAAATTTTAATTTGTCTTTGTAAAGGAATGGTTATGCACACAATTTAATTTAACCCAAGAGCAGCAAATAAGAGTATGTATTCCTGATCAGGGTGATTACAGTTAGCCAATAGCAGGGCTTAATTCTTAAATTACGTTAAATTAAATTCGTGCATAAACCCACCATAATTACCTATAATAATATTTTGGTGCTGTTTTGTTTCAATTTAACAGTTAATAAGGTACTTACATTATTATTTTTTAAGGCAGACCTTTTACTTATATCCTCAAAATTCTTAAAAACTTCTTATACCAATCACATAGAATAATCAACAATAACAATACTTTAAACTGTTTAAACTTCAACTAAAAATCACAACCACTACAAGGCTACAACCTCTACAACCACGTGCTATAACCTCAATAATATACCGAAATCGAGCAATTCGGCACCATAGAGCTGGCGAGTGACTCGCAATCGTTTTAGTTGATGCGAGTATGATTTTTTGCAAATCGGAATTCACCAAACCGTCGAAATCGAGTATTTCGATATCGAATTGTCAATGGGAATCTGCCTGCTGGTCTCGTTAATTTACCAGCGTAAATCACCTCTTTATTCTCAATACAATACTATCGGTTACAAGGTTTTGAACTTTATGCAGAAGAACATATTTAAGGCATCAAATAGGTTGTTCATTATTTCAATAAACTAGGCTGCATTTTCAGCCGTTATGGAAACTAATTCTCCAGTTCTTGTTGCCGTTTTAATAGATGCAGTTACAGAATGGCTAAATAACTGAGTAGCGAGCTTTACGCTTATTTTTTCAAATGCATTTGGGAAAAGGTGTTTTGGAGTGATTTTCAATAATAAAGCTCTTCCAGATTTGCTACGTTGGTCCAGTTCATAAACCTTTTTTTATATTAGCAAATCTGATAAATTTGCCATTGAAGGTAAAATCACTTTGTAAAAAATTATTTTTAACGCATTTTACTAGGTAAGGCACATCAAAAAATGCAAAGTAATTGTTTTCTCCTATGACAAATTTAGGGTTATCTACAGTAATGCCCAAAGATCTATATACTTTTTGGTTAACTAAAGATAAATCGCACACTATCCCTATAGGTTCCAAACCTGAGCCTCGCCTCGAATATGTGTTAAACCTTCAAAAATAATAGTTTAGAGGATATATGATGTCATGGCGGCACTGACGTCATCTGTAGAGTTAGTTAATTGGCGCGAAGTAAATAGTATATGACAGACACACGTTGCAGTGGTTTGTAAGTACTTTATTATAGTAATTTATAACATTTTAAGCAAATATTTGTATTATATTATGTTGTAACTTTTGTTCTTTGTGAGTGGTATTAGGGAAAAACATTTGAAAAATGCGGTACGCAATTTATGGATGTAATAATAACAATCAAAGCAAAGGGTTTTTCGTTTTCCTCGACAATAAGAGGTTTGTTAGAAGTGAACAATGGCTCGAGGGCGGCTCCAGTGGTGGGCTCAAGGGGCCATATCGCCCTCCGTGATTAAAATTCTTACAATCCATGGGGCTTTCATTGAAATAATGCTAATAAAGAAATTGTTACAGGCACTAACCTTCGCTCCCCCAAAATGCAACACTGAATTGCCCTTGCAGTGGCCTGCTCTACCTCCTTAATTAAAAGGCCGTATCTACAAACACCATAAATCTGAGAAAATGGGGTTTAAAGTTTATTACTTGGACTCCTTACTTTTCTCTTTTATTCAATTAAAAAATGTGCTAAAGTAATAAGAATAAAACTCAAAATATGTAATACTAAAAAAAATTGGGTTGCCTTATCTAGTTTTTTCAAAGAAGTACTTACGGCGTTTTCATTGAGCACTGGCAATTAAGAAATTAATACGATTTTGCAGATACGGCAAAGTGTTTTAAGTATTTTTACCAGTTAATTGTTTAGATATCGCATTTTTAGGTTGTAAGAATTTAAAATAATATCATAGGAATCCATATAGGTAAAAATCTCGTTTTTTGATTTTTTTGTAGATATGGTCTTTTAATTGAGGGGGGCAGTGCGATTGTGCATATAAATTTAAAGCATTAAATTGTCATGTGTATTCCAAGCACTTTTAACCTTTAAATTATAAAAGTGATCTCAAAGCAGATTTTCTCATTGGTTCGGAACTTCTCACCTGCGGACACTACCCTTTAAAGGGATGAAAATTTCGCAAAATGTCTGCTGCAAACAAAATTTTGTGTTCCTATAATTTCTTATTAGCAATTCTTTAAGAGGAATACATACCCTCGCTTATTTGAAATAAAAGTCAAACGCCGTTATTTACCAAGCGATTTTTTTGAAATTTTGGGAGTTAATTTACTTCATACTTTTAAAAAAAAGTATGGAAGCAGTAAATGTAGTTAAACATTTTATCATCCGATCTAATTTACGTTCAAATGCTCGATGATTAAGATCAAGTCTGCAAAGGTCAGCTCACAAAACTGTATTTTAATAATCAAAAAAATATATTAAAATACTTGAAGTTTCCTGAAAATAAAAAATCTCTCGCAACGGGAATAGGGACTCTCTGTGATCGGTAAAACATCCCCGTAGAATCCATAAATATAATTATGTAGCTACGGCTACGACGCGCGCACCATTTTCAGTTACTTCAGTTAAATTCGAGGGCCTGGGAGAACAATAATTTTTTGCTGGCACGCTTATGATTTTCTCTAGTTCGCTTAAGACTGGAGTTGACCATTCGAGCAGATTGTTGACGCAAAGTCAACATTATTCTTACGTAAATTTCTCTGTTTGTCCTTTTTCGAAGATTGTCGGTCGTTCAGACACTGCAGCTAGAGCAAGTCTATTACTAACTGTTAAGTCGTTACATAGAGCAGAAGTTCCACCGAAACGTCTGGCACTTTAATTTGCCACTCAAAAATCTGCAGCCTATTTGCGCCGGCTGAACTTCCACCTAATTCAATACTAAATTCAACTCTTTTTTTATTCCAGATGATGAAATTCAAGGTGGCCGGCCTTGTGGCCGACCTTATGCCCAATATAAGACTCATACAAGCTTCAGGACATTTTATGTTTAATTATCACGCTGACAATTCAGGCTCACTACATGCTTTAAGGGTGGGTTACTCGTGCATGCATCTAGTGTTTTGTTTGCTTCAGTATGGGTAAGTTAATTATATTCTTCTTCTATTATTATTTTTTTTTTTTGATCCCACACTTTTGACGTTAGTGTTATTGGCAGATCACAGTCTATTTAAAGACTATCCGGTAGTCTGAATCCTGATACGACCCTGTATAACTTAATTAATATGTTCGAAGTTGTCTCTGTTTAATACAATATACGACGCGTAATAGGGAATCGATTTTCTTCTAATTGTTGCTGAAGTCTGCTCTGTTCTTGCAATTATTAATTAATTCTTGTATATTAAACGTTTCACAAAACAACCCAATAAAAAATCACAACATAACTGATTTATTTAAATTGATTCAACTATTCGGGAAAGTAATGTCTCAAAATTACGTTTTGATACGCAGATCTGACACAGTGCAATACTAATTTATAATTTGTAATTTGTTAATTTGTTTTATTTTTCAGATGTACATTTGGTAATTTAATACTAGAAAGAGATGACGTAAACGACTTAGCAGCGAATACAATCACAGTTCTTTTCTTCTCTCATTGTATTACGAAATTCGTTTACTTCGCACTTAGATCTAATCTTTTTTATAGGTAAGTTGTGCTTTGAAATTCAGCTTTTAATATTCTCTTTCTTATTATGTATTACACACTCTATTTTACATGGTGACAGGCTATCGTTTTGGATTTGTACCTTGGCCACTTCCACAGAATTACATTTTTATTACTTACAAGTATCAGAGTAAACAAAATTTATTAGTTAAAAAAAAGAGGGCCTATCAATATTCTTGGAGATATTCTAACCCCAACAAAAAAATGAAGATCATATTCTGTGAATTAACATATCCAGAAGGCTAAGAAAAAAGTTGTGTTGAGGACAGTCAAAATTAGGTTATATAAATTAATTGTGAAGATAATAGTTCTACATGTATTGAGAACATGGATATTGGCGAAAAAGAGGAAAATGAACTGTAATTATAGAGAAAAAATTTCTTTGGCAACGCCACAACGGCAGAAGGTATCTGGAGAAGACGTAAAATCAAAGAGGTAATGGACATATTAAAGAAACCAAAAATAACTAAGAGTTAGAACACAACAACTGAGATGGTTAGAACACATTGTTTGAATGTCAGAGGAGATGATTGTAAAAAAGGTACTGGATGAATAAGGTGAGAAGAAAAGAAGAGGACGCCCAAAAAAAGGGTTATAAATGGTTTAATAGGATACAGATAAGATGTTAACGATCAATTGGAAATAGGTTATAAAGAACCAAAACAAATGCAAAGGAATACCAAATAATATTAAAACCAAGAGTCTCTAAGACCTGTAGAATTAAATTATATATTACTGGCTTATTGGAAAAAACATGACAAACAACAAAATAAATTTATTATCTATCACTTTGTTAAAATGCAGTAACTTCATTTATCTGCTGATAGAATTTTTTTTGCATAAGATCCATTTGGTACGTGTCCTATAACCTTATTACTTAATGTCGTGAAGTAAAAATGCCATTATTTAAAAAAATGTGGCTTGTCAAGTTTTTACAATAAGCACTTCAATAATATTCTAAATCATGTAGCCGTTTAATAGCGACAATTAATTTTTTAGAACATTAGGAATATGGAACCAAGCGAACAGTCATCCCTTATTTATAGAATCTAACAACAGGTATCATGCTTTGTCTCTGAAAAAGATGAGGACGCTTATAATTTGCGTTGTAACTGCAACAATTTTATCAGCAGCGGGTAAGTGTATAATATACCAATTTTATTAACTAAAGTTAAACAAATAATGATTGAGAGTAAACCGCGTTGTCATATCTAAATTTTACATTACCAGTTTCTGGCAGAATCAAAATACAGTAAGCAATAGAGTTGTAGGTTGTGGCAAATTATAGATAATATAAATTTCTAGTACGATTAAAAGATATTATATTTCTGCCTCGTCTCGTAAATAAGATATATTGTCTTCAAAATTAAAAATGTTTCATTAGAACAAAACATTTCAAAATAGAAGTTCATAAAGTAATATCGGCCATGTTGTTTCATGACAAAAATTAAATAAATATTAAAATATAAGAACTCTTTGTACGAGTACAAATTGTCTGTTTTTTGGGTTAAGTGTTGCCCCATTTGTATTTACAAAACTGACGAAGCCACTAATTTATTTCCTATGAAGGAGAGTTTTTTAATATGACGTCTACATAGATGTTTTTTGTTAATAGGCAATTCATATGAGGTACTTTGTATTAAGTTTTTTCAGAAACTATTGGATTTCTAGAAAAATTAACTTTTTATATTGGTTTTCTTATATAAAATTATAAAAATTATAAAATACTTTTCCGTACAAGAAAGATGAACCGACCATTAGAGAATTTTATAAATTGTAGGGGAAACTAGTTTTCCTATATCCAGCAATACAATACTCTTTACTTTATACAAAGATAGTAGAGTGAGAAAAGTTTTTAGCTCGTAAAAAGCAAAAGGGAATAACAATTCAGTAATGAAAATATCTAAAAAGTTAGCAAATGTTTTGTTATGCTGGATTAATAAATTACGTAATAGTAGATATATTTGTGTAGATTTCTTTGATATTGAGATTTTACAGACGCTTTCAAGAAATGATGCAGCGTGTTCTGCAATGGGTCTACTGGTCAGAATCTGAACAAGAGTATCATATAAATTTTCTACAGCTTTTATCAGTTTTGTTCGAGTAAAAATGTTTTTACAAACTAAAAACCATAAATTAATATACTGTACCGAGAAGATAACATTGTGGCTACTATCCCAAGTTAAATACTCTTGCTCATACAATTTGGCGATGATGTGAACTGGTGCCCCTTTATATTTTCCCAATTTAATTATCGAGCTGATAAAGCTTTCCGTTATTCAGAATAGTAGACGGAATGGTGAATAGCAGTTTTCCGTTTTTTAAAAGAATAACCGTTCCGGTATCCCGGAAAAACTTATTTGCAAGTATAATAAATACTAAATGTAAACGATTTATATCTTGGCTGGGAAACCCAAACGCAGTAGCCAGTAATGCATTTTTAACTGGTTAAAATCTTTAATTTTATACTTTTCCTCCTTTTAATATAATTTTATAAGTACTACTACAGTAAACAAAAAGGTGAAAGTCGTGGTAGTGGTACCATTATAGGACTCTCAGCCTTGGTATCCGTTAATTTTATTTAGACATTGATATTTACTCCTAATAAGGACTTACTTTCTTCTGATAGGATAACCCATCCTTTCTCAGGAATATTTTTCCTGGTGGCAGGGATATTATTCCGTAAACTCTCATGGATATTGGATACTATGCCTAAAAATATAACTCCCGATTAAAATTGTAGTTAGAAGTCAATGTTAGAATATTTAACAAGACAATTCTATAGTGATTCATCATATAATTCACTAAACTGTTACAGATTAAATATAGCGCAAATAGCTGAACCTAAAATGGCACAATCTGTTCATTTAAAATTATTTATTTTATGTATTGTTCAGGATTTATTGCAACTAATGGCAACGCTGCACGGAACGATATTTGTATCTTTGTTAGTTTCGCCAGAGACAATCCAGCGAGACGTGTAACTCAATGTATTTTTTTTTGTTCGGTAAAAGTTATTTGGGCGATTGTAACCACAACCAGTCTATGATGGCGCCACTAGTAAATAGCGGGAAAATTAAAAATGCTTTAGGGCGGGAAATTCAAACATAGATTCAGAAGTAAATAGTTTTTCTATACAAATTTACAGGAGAAACAAAAACTATTGTTTCACTGTATATTAAAAAAATATAAAAGCTTCCAATAACATCAAATTTTTTATCACATAAATAATCATTTTAATAAAGGAAGTTTTAATCAGTTTAATATAAACAGTGAACATAGTTTTTATTACTCTTGTAAATTTCGCTAAAAAAAAACTTGAAAATTCTATTGATTATTAAATATTTAAACTTGGAAAAATAATACACCAAACTCTTTTTCTATAAATTATATTTTTGTAAATTACAGAAAAACAAACTACAATTGCTTCGATTAGATGGTACCTCGTATCATTTTGTGACAAATTACAAAGAAAGTAACAGTTGTTATATATTCATAATATATTTAAAAACTAATGTAACAAATATTTTATAAAGTATAGTATCTATACCTTTTTGCCAGACTATCATAAGTGCCATTTGAACAAATGTCACTTATGTTAGTCTGGCAAAAAGGTATGGATATGTTTTAACTGTTTATTTTAATAGAAACCATGGAAACGAAACACACATACACTCAACACAAATGTATAAGGCCCGAGTCAAGTAAGTTCCCATCCTGTAAACTGGATCGAAACCTGCTAACTCCTCTTATAGTAATCAAGATCAATAGATTTATATTCCATGCCTTCTAAAAGGGAATGAAGGATGACATACTATCATCATTTAAACAGGACTTTGCTGAAGGCTTACCCCTGTTATTTCGTTTGTTTGTGTATCTTGTGTGTGTGCATTCCTGTTGTGTCCCCAGTCATGTAAAAGTTTTCCTAGTCTCCTAATTTGGTTACTAGGTGGACCTTCTCCAACTAGTAGTCTAATCTATTCGATCTGTTTGGAAGCAGGAGGTACTTTTCAAACATAGCAAATAATATTATTAATAATAAACACTATTTAAAGATAAATACATTTTTGTAATTGCCGCTTACCTTTCTCTTACACCACCAGGGTATACCTATTTTCCATATTCCCTTAATTATAGATTACCTTACAATGTTCGAATGAATATAACATTTTACTCATGAAAAATCTAATTTCATATTTAACTCTTTTTCAATTTCATTTGAAACAATAATTGGTACCTATATTACAATTTATTATTAAAGAAAATTTCTAATAAAGTTATAGCAAATCCTACTTAAACTACTGGTTGTTCTGCAGGATAAATTCACTTTTCTTGAGATTGATCTCTCTATAAAATCCAAAACCGACCTAATGTCCCCAAATTTATTTTCCAATGCATCATGATTTAAAATTCTGCCCTTTTGTGATTCAATTTTTTTTTCTTCCTTTAGAGTGTCTGTTAGAGGTAGGTGTATGTAAGAAATAGCTAATCTCTAATCATTTCAAAAGTCCTTTGCCAATACTACATGTGCAGATTTTTTACTCAGCATACATTGTACTTTTCTAGTAGATAGGAACTTTTTGCTGCCATTAAAGCTGTCCAGACATTCATCTACCTACTTAATGAACACAAGTAGCTGTAACAATGGATCTCTGTTCCAATTCACCTAAAATAATTATAGTCATTGTGTAATATATTATTAAACACACACATTATACAGTGGTTTTCTTAATAATTGGAAATTACTTACCTCTAGAAAGAAATGTGTACAAAAACGCGAGTTTGGTTTCAGAAATTGCTTCATGCAAAAAATAATATGCAAAAATAAACATTTCCACCCAAAGAAAATTAATTAATCAACAAAATCAGACTAAAAGAAATATACGGGGCCCAAATTAAATTAATTTTAATAAAATGCACATGTTCATAACAAATTCATAATTCATATTTCGACGTCAAAAAACCAGTGCCCTCTGAAAATGGTGTTAGTTTTATTGGAGAGAGATAGACATATGTAAAGATCAATGTAAAAGAAAAAGAGGGTCATATATGTAATTTAAATGGACCACCGAACATATTTTCCTATTAAGTTACACGTCTCTGTTGTCTCTGGTTTCGCGTAAAATCCATCTCATCGATGCAGGATGCCGTGCTCAGTAAACTTGCAACCATGAGCGCATCATCAGGTTTTGAATTATACAGCGTGATTTGTAAGTTTTACAGTTAACCCGTTGATGAACAACGACGTCTATAGGCGTTATTGACAATGTGCGCTCCGCGACAACTTAATTTAAGGACGTCTGTGGACGTCTTTTAAAATATATCTCCATAGCTCGGCAATAACTTCTACAGACGTCGGATTTGAATTGTAAATCGGTAAAGTGTCATATCAAGCACACTAATTTGACTCTGTGCATTTGACGTGAGAGGTGGGGATAGTTAGTACATGGCGTCATAACGGTCTATGTGGGGCGCCTCTGCGGGCCTCTGGCATTTAGTATTTCAGTCACTAATCAGCACGTGGTATGGCGTTAGCTGTTATTCGATATTTTCTTCAAATTGAAGATATCCAAGATGGCAGGAAATGTGTCAAACAAGGTCCAATAAAAAGAAGAATAACTGCTCCTACCACAAATCAGCATTTTTTGGAAAATATTTCAGTTCCTCAGGATTATAAAAAACCCTATTTATTTTTGAAATGTAGGGAATGAACGAAAAACAAAATAAGACGGGAAACGAGATACTTTGTTTATTTAAACATATATGCATTTTATAAAACATATATACATTTTTCATTATTATTATTTCATTTCATTTTAATTTAGGATTTTTCTAAGTTTCATTAGTTTTCAAATAAAAAATACATGCGTAATTCTAGTGTTTTATTTATATCGACGTCTATGGACGTCTACGTTACAAATAGTATAGAAAAATGTCTAGTATATGACAGTGACGTCTATAGCCGTTATTGTTTTTTTATATTATTCAGCTTTTTTGGAATTCAAATAACATATATTATATAAGTGTTACTTTAATATTGCAAAATTTAGTGAAGTTGCAATAGTGTCACAAAAAGCATCTCCACCTATTCACATGTGTCCGTCAACGTGTTAAGTTAGTAAGTAATCGACGTGTTGTGATAACAATTGGAGAAAATATTAGTGCTAATAAGTGTTTAAACATTAAATAAGTATATTTCTACACCGTTCTAAAACTACTCAAAAAATTATAGACATTGCAGGGTCTTTAACGTCGAAAAAGATGAAACGGTCGAAGTCTCGGTCGCTAAGTGAAAAACAAATTGTACTTCGAGTATTTCACTTTCTTAAAAGAGATCATCAGCGTCCAAAAGATGACTTAGTGTATATGTGCTGTAATTCTACGCGTGTACCCCTGAATAACTAACCGGGCGTTCCAACATCAATAACTTCCACAATTGTAAAAGATAAATTAGTTGATATGTGCTCTGAGTATCAAATTCATCGATTTACAAAATAATAAGCAAAAACAAAATTCATGGGGAAGTACAAACGCTAAAAACTAGTAGCGGACAAAAAAAAATCAGTTGATGAAGCAGCCAAAAACAGTATACGCAAAACTATTCATAGTTTCTTTTTCAGAAATGAGCTGCCCACTTTGCAAAAAGTTCTGAAGGCAGTTAGCGATCATAAATTGGACCCACAAATCAGAAACTTAAAAAAAAATTTATACGAAATGAAATTTACGTACGGAAAAGTTGACAGGAAAAGCATTCTCATTGAACGTCAACAAATAATAAATAGTACGAAGAAGAAATTATCTCAGAAAAATTGACGACTTTTGGAAGGTAAAAAAAAATTTACTACATGGATAAGACGTGGGTTTACGAAGGACATACAGTCAAAAAAGTAAGGCAGGATGGTCATATAACAAGGGCTTGTCAACTGAGTTAAATCAGCCGTCTGGAAAAGGTAGTCGTCTGATAGTTACGCATATAGGTAGCGACAGTGGATTTTTACCAAATGGTGAATTAATATTTAAATCTAAGAAAACAGGCATCTATCATGAAGAGATGAATGCGGAGGTGTTTGAAAAATGGTTTCAAGGCATCATTCAATTTGTGGAACCTGGGTCTGTCGTCTTCATAGACAATTCCCCATAGCATACCAAAACAATCATGAAAAAAGCAACAATTCAAGAATGGTTAATTAATAAAAACATCAAATATAAAAAAGATAGTTTAAAGGCAGAACTATTTCAGCTAACAAAATTATATACAAATATAAAAAATTACAGTTTTAAGGTTACCACCGTACCACTGTAAATTAAACCCAATAGAATTAATCTGGGCGCAAGTAAAAGAATATGTGGTACGAGAAAACAAAACATTTAAATTAGTGGACGTGCAACAATTCCTACAAGAAGCCATTCAAAATGTTTCTGCAGAAGACTGCAAGAAATGCATTCTCCATGTTCTAAAAGAAGAGCAAAAAATGTGGGACGTAGACAACCGTATTGAACACAATATTGAACCAATCATAATTAACTTTGACGAAAATTTGCACACAAAAAGAAGTCTATATATTTAGGTATCTTTCCTATTTTTATTTTAAATATATATTGTGATTTTTATTAATATTGTTAATTTATTTGGTACCTACTATAATTACCACAATTATTATTCTGGTTTCATTAAGCCCAGCTAATTACTACAAAGATTAGGTAAATTACAATATTGCAAAGTTTTAATGAAATAAATAAAAAAATTGTGATTATTTTAAATAATTGTACTAAGCATTATTGGTTCATTCTTAACCCTCTCAATCATTATTCGTTTTACTTTTATTTAACAAATTTGTTTGTATTTTTACGTTTGTCATAACTTTTAGATATAACAGAGATTTTTTAAAGTTTAATGAGAATACATTCTGATAAGCCAATACATTTTAGGCATCTTATTTAATTACTCAGGTTTTTTATTTTTCTTTTTTTTTGGACTCTCCAGCGCAGCCTTGGATACAAAGTAATACCCAAATATTTGTTCGCAAAGAGTACTTGGGGGTATTATTTATTCTAACTGGGACATGGTTTCTTTTTATTTGTACAATTTATGTGTACAGAATTATTTTCATTTAGCTTAACGTTATGTGCAATATACAATTTTATTAAGAGAGTTCTGCAATTTTTTGGTTAAATCTTCATGATCTTCTTTTACTGCCAAGGCTGCTATTGTATTATTTTTTTTATTTTACAATATCACTGGTGTATAATAGATAAAGGATAGGTCCCAATACACTTCCTTGTTTGATTTCTTTTAGTTCCGAGTAAACTTTTTTATTCTAAATGCTCTATCTGTGAGGTATAATTCCGATAATTGTGGGTATTTTCTGGCCAATGACATGTTTAAGTGTAAGTTCCTTGTGCCATACTCTACCGAGAACATGGACTATGTCTAAGAAGAGAAAACTTTTCTTCCTTTTAATAATTTTACAATTATGTTCGTTATTTGTTAGTCGATAGTAGAATGTTTTTTCTGTGAAAACAAACTAATGTGTCGGCATTAATTTGATTTTTTCTATGATGGATTCTAATCTCTTTAAAAATAATTTTTCAAACAGTTTCGGAATTATAAGAAGTTAAGTAATTGGTAGGTATATAAGACTGAACATCATTTTATGGTGGTTTGTCCGGTTTAGGTGTCATTATTACCTCGACCAATTTCCATATTAGGCTTTCATAGGGAGTTGTTTTACTTGTTTTAGCATCTCTACGGTAATTTGGTTTAAATGTCCTTTCAAAATGTTCAGCAAGTCTATTGGCTTTTTGTAGATTACTTCTTGCCCAACTCCCATCTGTATTTAAAATTGGTGGATTTTTTTGCAGAATCGACCTTTTAAATCTTTTAGTGGATTTCTAATGTAATCGTTGATCATTTATATCATTTGTCAATTAACTTAGAAAAAGCTCAAGGTTTTTGTGACACATTTTTTGAGTTTTTCTGTTTAATTGGTTTTATTATTTTTTCAAGCATGGACTGGCATCACCTTTGTTGGAGAGAGCGTCCACAACGTCAAAGACCCCGAAAACGAGAACATGACAATCGTAGAAGAAATACCGAGATTGCTGGTCAAATCGTGGTATCCTTGGAATGCAATGTCTGGTGGAGCCTATTACTTTTCTTTGGTTTTCCAGATTTACTACGTTTTCTTCTCACTCATGCATGCAAATCTCCTTGACAGTTTGTTCTGTTCCTGGTTGATTTTCGCTTGCGAGCAATTGCAACATTTAAAGGAAATTATGAAACCTTTGATGGTAAGTACTTAAAGTCAAATATTCTATTGTTTTGTATATACAGGTTGGACCACCGGTAACGCCTCTGCCTATAGATCAAAATTAATTGCTTTTTTTAGAAAAGGCAACTAAATAAAAATAAATTTAATTTTACAGAGTTCTCCAAGCAACATTTATGCCGATGCATTATTTTTTAATTCAAAACAAATATACAAAGGTAATTTAAATAAAAAATAAATTACAGGGTGTCCCATTTAAAAAAACTTAACTTTAAGTAATATGTTTCCTGTATAATTAAAATTATTTTTACATAGTTGCCTTTTCAGATAAACGTTTCGCTATCAAAAAGATTTTAAAAAACAATTTTGATTCCGCAAACGGAGGCGTTACCGATGGTCCCCCCTATACAATTACTCTTCTAGACCAAAGTGTTCTTAGAATGTAGAATGTATTTAAAACCTAGAGATAAATAGCGAAAAAATAATGACTAGTTGAATAGCAATGGTATTATAAGACACTACATTTTTTATGGACATTTTTAACTTTTTCTTTATGTATTTCAGGAACTTTCTGCTTCTTTGGACACCTATGTTCCAAAAAGCGCAGATCTGTTCAGAGCCAACAGTGCAAATTCCCAGGATAACCTCATAGAACACGGTAAAAAACTTAATACAAATATAACAATTAAAATTTATTGCAATCGCTTTGTTTCCCATATTTACGGTATTAAAGTTTAAATCTGGGGTATTTTAAGAATTATATTGTAATACTGTTATATTTTTACTCATTCTACTGTATCGAAAGCTGCTCTCACGTCAATAATTGCTAGGTATGCATGGACGTCATTACACAATTCTATAGGGGCAAAATTTTGAAAAAAATTAAAATGGTTATTTGTTGAAAAACAAAGAAAATGAAAAATAAAGGAGCAATACAAATTAACAAAAGTTTCTAATAAATAAAAAAAAAACAATAAAAAAGACAAAAACTAAAATAAAAAAACAAGAAACACATTTTTATAAAATAACAGAAGGTGTGATATAAAAGAAAAATATGAAGACAGAGCCATACATAATAATAAAAAAAATAAAATATTTATAGAAACATAGAAACATAAAAAACTCACTCAAACACGTCGACGAACACTTGGAAAACGCAACTTTTAATTTCTTTTTCCTCTACCAAAAATAATCGATAACAGAAAACATGATTTCTTTTTAGTTTTTTGCGATTATTTTTCGATGTACGCTCATCTTGCAAAACCCAGTCAACCTATTTTCATTCATTATTCCCTCTGTGAGTGACAGCAGCGCCAACTAATTTATGAACTAACGGAAGATATTTGCGTATACTGACAATATAATTTTGGAAAAATCCGCCAACAGTCGAACGGGCTATTTTTTTTTTTATTTTTTTTTTAAACGATTTTAGACCTTCTAAAACACATTTCAAAATACTTTTTTTGCCCTGCAAACGCTATAAAATATTTTTTTCTTACCTTAAAACTATTAAAATGTGTCCTCCAATTTCGATGTTGAAAAAATTTAAACTACATCATTTTGATTAATTTCTTGTTTTAGAAACTGATAAATAATAACACTAGACCATCCATAATGCAATAAACCATCCAAATTTTTTCGTAAACAGTTTTTTTTTTATGTAAGCTCATGTTTCGGTTCGTCGGAATTTTTTAATTTTCGTAAAGACTGACAATTAAGATTTGCAGTGTGACATATGTCTAAAAGAAATACAATGTTGCCATATCAATTATCTATTACATAGCAATGGTAATTTTTACCTATGCCCTGCGTTGTACCAGGCCAACCAATTGACTTCAGTATCAGAAAAATTATATATAACTAACGATTTAAAAAATACCCATATCAAGATTTTCTTCCTCACCCTCATCGGCAGAGTACTCTTCGACGACCTAACCTAAACTAACAATATACAATAAGAAGACCGGCATATACTCCAACGGCCTGGACAAAGCTCAAATTGAAAAACCTAACCTAACCAACCCTCATTAGCGTCTGGCCAGTGAACATCGATCCCAACTTTTAACGAACGTGTCTTGTATCGTGGGCATCTAATATTATGAAACTAAACAATAAGAAAAGGAAACAACGACTTTCTGTAAGGTGGCGGCTTTGCCGCCACCAGAAAATTTTTAAACCATACCTGGCTACGCCGATCGGCATAAACTCCAACGGCCTGGACACAGCTTAAATTGAAAAATAAAATAACCTAACCTAACCAACACTGATTAGCATCTGGCCAGTGAACCTCAATCCCAACGTTTAACAAACGTGTCTTGTATCGTGGGCATCTAATAATATGAAAATAAACAATAAGAAAAGAAAGCAATGACTTCTTGTAAGGTGGCGGCTTCGCTGCCACCAGAAAATTTTTAAACCATACCTGGCTACGCCGTCCAGCATAAACTCCAACGGCCTGGACACAGCTCAAATTGAAAAAAAAACTAACCTTACTTAACCAACCCTGATTAGCGTCTGGCCAGTGAACCTCACTCCCAACTTTTAACGAACGTGTCTTGTATCGTGGGCATCTAATAATAAGAAAATATACAATAAGAAAATGAAGGAACGACTTCTTGTAAGGTGGCGGCTTCGCCGCCACCAGAAATTTTTTACACCATACCTGGCTACGCCGACCGGCATAAACTCCAACGACCTGGACACAGCTCAAATTGATTTTTTTTTAAATATTAGATAAGTACTGACATGCCGTAATTAACGTACAATCATCATGAAATGAAATAAAAAGACGGTTGTCTGTAATTACTACAAATGTTTTCACTTCGAGATCCAAATTTACCTGCTGGCCAGACACTATGTAATTTTTCAGCCAACTTTCACTAACCGAAATATTTCCTGACTTATATGTTTTCTTACTCGATTTGGCAACACCGCATTTATAGAAACTAGACACATCAATTCAGTGTTGCCAATTTGCGTATAATTATACGATTTTCGTATATTCTGACTTGCCAGCGTATCTTTTTCTAACTCTTTGAAATTCCGTATAATTTCCGTACATTCTGTGAAAAACTATGGATCTTTCTAGATTTCCATTTATTTTAGGAATAAGTTTAGAGATTCCTAAGTTTATTTTGACAATTAAGTTGTTTCAGAGTGTCTCTTCTGCTCTACTGTTATTAAACAGTGGCTGATTGGTTCTTGACTGCTTATTTTAGAGAATTCCACACTCCATGTCATTGACCAATGAAAACAGGCCCGAAGCCGGGGATTCACCGAACTGATATTGTTCGTATTGTTGAAATGCACTTGGGAACTTTTGGCAGCCTGTCTGAACGAATCTGCATTGCTACATTTATTCTGTCGGTAGTGCCCGATCTCAAAAACCTGGCAGCAACACAAATTTAATATCCTCAAAGGCAAAGATGTAGCTGCAAAGGTAAATCTACAAAGGCGTATAAAAAGCGTATCTTTTGTACCTAGCCACCGTATAATTTCAAGTTTGAGTATTGGCAACACTGCATCAATTAGGCATTCCAAACAAATGAATTGACAGTGGGAAGGTTTGGTATATCTAAGGGTGGCGACATACGGTGTATTCTATCTACTTTACGTAAAATCATGAATAATGGATTACATTTAAATATTTTATGTCAAACGCATTAAAAATAATATTTAAAAAACTCACCATTACATTTCCTCATAAATTGACAGGTTTGGTCACTACTACTTCGAATAAAAATAGCGTCCAAGTTGCAAGACTATGTCGCTACCCCCCTTAAATATACAAGAATTTTCCACTGGCACATATTGTTTGACAGGTCGTTGGAATGCCTAATTGTCATTAAAAATAATTTAATGTTTTTTTGTTTTTCTAACAAACTAAAAATTAAAAATAAGAAAATTTGATCGTTTATGAACAAATTTGGTAGGGTTCATTGCTCTATGAATGGTCTTATATTGATATTTAGCCGTTTCTTCAACAAGAAATCAGTGAAAACGGTTTATTTCACATTTGTTTTATGATGGAGACCCGACAACAAATTTTAAGGATTTTAAGGTAAACATTTTTTTTTAAATAAGTGTTAGCGGGCCCAAAATTGTTATGTATAGTGTGTTTCAAAGTGTCTAGAAACTCTTTATAACATTTCAATAGTTCTATCCGCCGTTCGAGTGTCGGCGTATAATACCATAATTTTTAATAGAATTCGTATTTAAAAAATATATATGTTGATTTTAATAAAAGTATACGGATTTGTAAAACAAGTGAAAAAATTAATTATTATTACATATAATCATCAATAAAACAGACAGGCAACGATATTTACGAGAAAATGTATAATATTTTGCCTAAACTAAATAAGTTGAATTGAAGAATAGGTTATAATGTGAAAATAAAAACAATACCATTACATAATAACGTAGTAACAAAACGTATTGACAAAAATAACACCGTTCAACACAAAAATCCTCTTTATAAAAATATCGTGTATTTTGTAACATTTGGACTAATATACAACTGACCCCCAAATGTTTATATTGGCCTTAGATTTCTTGGAAGGGTCGAATAGGCCCATTAATAGGTAATAAACGGTCGCCTTATTGTTATTTGTAGGTAGTTGGATCTATGCTTGAAATATCCCTTTAGTCGTTAACAGAAAATCATTTAGTAAACATCTATTCATATTTTCGCTTAGATCTACGTGCGTGTTAAAACGGTACCAAAAATATCGATGCGCGTTTGCGTTAATAAAGCCGATAGCTTCTGTTATATATGTGGCGAAGTTACCGCGAAAGCGTACCAAAAACCGATATCTTCATTAGTAAAAAAGGCTTATGAACTGTACTTTGGATGCAAAGTTGGCTATCAAGATAGGTCCTGGGCCCCAAAAATGTGTTGCAGTTCGTGCTCGAGAACATTGACTGGATGGGTGAAAGGTACTCATTAATCTATGCAATTCGCAGTTTCAATGGTTTGGAAGGAACCTCGTAATCACGTAGATGATTGTAATTTTTGCATGACGAATATTAAAGGAATTACTAACAAAACCAAGCGTAGCATTCAGTACCCCAATATTCCTTTTGCAATGCGACCAGTGCCCCATGACAACTCATTACCCATTCCCCAGCCACCTCAGAGTTACACGCTTGATCCCGAATCAGACTCCGGAAGTATTTCACCAGAAGCCGGACCAAGCTACATCCCTAGTTCTCATGATTTGCCTGATACACCCCATTTAATCACTCAAGGTGAATTAAATGACCTTGTTCGTGACTTGGACCTTCCGAAAACAAAAGCTGAACTTCTCGGATGCCGCCTGCAGCAGTGAAAGCTCTTGGAAAAAGGAGTAAAGGTGTCCATCTACAGGAAAAGGCAATCTACTTTCACAATTTTTTTTGTAGTGGAAGGTGATTTAGTATTTTGCCATGACATACCTGGCCTAATGACCGAACTGAACTTACCATATACTCCCGATAAATGGAGACTATTCATAGATTCGTCTAAAACAAGTCTAAAAGCTGTTTTACTTTTTAATGGAAACGAGCATCCATCGGTTCCTATAGGTCATTCGGTAAATATGAAAGAAACATATGACAATCTTAAGATGTTACTAAGATGCGTAAAGTACGAAGATCATAAATGGAACATATGTGCAG